CCTCCTGGGCCGGTTTGGTTGGTTCAGGGATAACCCACGTAACAGTTTCTTAAGAATTAGTATAAGATATTAATAAGCAATATGATGGTCATAAATTTTGAGATTGATATGTTTGAAAGATCAAAGAGTTTGAGCTTTGAAAAATCAAGACACATGGTGTTCTAATTCATCAAAGATATGTGATGGCTCATAAGGTTATACCTAAGATCACGAGTGACAAAGCTAAAATAAAAATTAATGGAAAAAAAAAACTCTCAAGAATTATGCTAAGTTTGGGGAAGAAGTTTTGATACAAATTTTTTGATAAAATAAGCATTAAAGGGTTGCAACTCAGGCTGCAGTATGATAAAAAGTCTCCCCAATAAACTTTATCAAAAGTTAAGACAAGATTTTCTTCACATGTAAGAAGATATATTTATTAAATCACATCTTAATGAGTTTAGTTCCATGATTGTGATGGACGGAAGCTGAGCTGGTGGGCTTCACTAGGGTGGGCGGTGGGCAAGAAGAGGGGGAGAATTGTTTAAGAAAATTTTAATTACAATTGAGAGGGAATTAATTAATAAAAGATACATAATTTGAATTCAAATCTGAGAGGGAATTATTTAGGGAAAACCCCGGCGAGATAATATAAATTATGTAAGGAAGAATCAATGGAGAATAATTTGGGAAAGTTTTAATTACAATTGGGAGGGAATTAATTAGGAAAAGATATCTAATTTGAATTCAAATATGAGAGGAATTATATAGTGAAAGGAGGCTAATTTGAGAGGGAATTAGGGGAGCCTATTTAAGTCTAACTATAGAGTGATTTCATATTATGCTTGATTTTGTTGGAATTAGTTTTTCTTAGGTTGAGTGGGCTCTATCCGACGGCTAGGGATTTGGGAGAGCCGAATCTTCATCTCCAATTGAAGATCCAACTATATCTTATGTTTTTTGTCTTAGTTTTTTCAATTAAAAAAATTTCTTATGTTCTCCTTCCAAAATTTCATGTCGTTCTCTGGTGTTGCTGAAATTGCATCAACTTCCTATCCAATTGGTATCAAAGCACTTTTTTGGGACCTATTGCGGCAAATAAAGTAAATGCCTTGGAAGAGCATTTTAAAGAAAAAATTGGCCAACTCAAATCAACGTTTGAAGATAGAATGACATCAAAGGAGGAAAGTTTTTCAACCTAGAAAGAATGATAAGGAAACTATTGAAGCTTCACACCCAACCAAAAATATCGAAGGCAAGAGCATCGGACTGGGAAGTAGGGGAAACCCTAAAGTCTAAATATGGGTACCTATGACAGGAAGAAAGGAAAAAGCGTTGGAGGGGGAGATTGGACAGATAAATCTAGAATTTCATATCTCTAACCGCAAATTTCATATTGCAAAAGTCAAATTGTAATCGTCCACGAGAAAATCGATGGAAACTTTTTCATCCTGAAGGAGATGTTGAAGAAATTACTCAATGGTCAAACAAAAAAATTGCCGTCGAAGGTCAAGGAAGTCGCCGACAGCCAAGGAAGTAGTGAAAACTCTAAGCCAATAAGGTGAAGGGAAGATCAAGAGATAGAGATTTTGGAGGGGGCAGAAAAAATGCCTCCCCTAGAGCCTATTCCTAGAGAGGAGTTGGGTAGAGGGTATGTGGAGAGACGTGAAATGGTTGGACATGAGTGGAGCGGTGATGAATTTGAAAGGAGATGGACTAAATTTGAAAGGTGAGGGGGCTTGATTATGATCAAAGGAGTGTCGAATTTGAAAGGAGAATGATTGAATATGATCAAAGGGGTGCTGAATTTGAAGGAAGAAAGTGGGCTTGTGAAGAAAGGTTTGGGTACGAGCGGAGAAGGGATGATTGGCACAATTGGGGGGAACCACCCCCGTGAGGAATGGGAAACTTTGGAGGAAGCAAGGGTGACAGAGGAGATCTAAGGGTGAGGAAGCTGAATATGCCTATTTTTAAGAGAGATGATGCACATGAGTGGATCTACAGGGTGGAAATGTACTTTACCATCAATAGGTTGACGGAGGAGAGACTGCCGATAGCCGGGATGTGCTTGGAGGGGAAAGCTTTAGCATGATACCAGTGGAGCGATACGAGACAACCTATACGGACCTGGAGGGAGTTTAAAGACTACTTGTTGGAACATTTTCAAACAAAAAGGGGAGGAGACTTCTATGAGCAGTTAGATTTTTATTGGGTATTTGCTGAAATTTGTAGTGTTTTTAGGTAGTTTTGGGCTCTAGCCACCGGCTACAGAATTGGGAGAGCAGGGTCCTCCTCTCCAATTGAGTGTCCATTATATCTTATTTGTTTTCCTCCCTATTTCATCAATTGAAGAGAGTTTTCTTCCGTTATCTTTCTACAAATTGCCTTGGAGATTGTGTTTGGATTGCTGAAATTCAATTTCAAACAAGGGCAATTGGATTTCTACATCCACTTCCTATCAGATTGAGGATTTGATAAATATTGATGTGATGGTTGATGATGAAGATCAACATTTATTAACATTGTGCCTTTTATCTCCCACTTATAAATATTGTGATGGCACAATATTTTATGAAAGAGATATAATCAAAATTAATTAACATTGTGCCTTCTATCTACTACTTATAAATATTTTTATGACAACATGTTTTATGAAAGAGAAATAATTAACTTAGAGATTAAAAAAGAATTATTGCTAAACTTGAAGATGTTGGAAATAAAAAGCTAATTGAGGGAATCTTATTTAGAGAGACACCTTTCGAAAAGAGGCCTACTTATTGATCATGGAAGAAATCTCATGGAAAATACAATGATGAGACATGTTTGATTACAAGAAGAAAGAGCATATTAAGAGATATTGGCATGAATCATGAAAATGTAACCATAAGGAGAAAAAATTAGCATCTGCTAGTGTTCTTGTACATCAGCCAAACAAAATTATAAGTGATGGTCTTTTAATTAATGTTAAATTTAAATATAATGATTACTGAATTCTAAATTCAACCTGCTTGTACCGTATATGCAATAAAAAGGAGTTGCTTCACTTATGAGGGATGTGATAGTGATTGTTTTATATGAAAAATAATGTGGCAATCAAGATTGTTGGTACTCACTATGAAATTCAACATGCGTGATGATGTGATTTGTTAAGCTGTGGAGCCTAAATAATACCCTACAAAGAAACAACTTATACAGACTCAGGCGTGGATAGTTATAACGCTATAACATCTAATATCTACGATTTGTTTCATTAAGGGTATTTTTAGAATTTCGTTGTAATATTCAAAAGCCTTAATTTTTTTACAAAATTCCACTACCATAGTGAAATTTACATGACGGTAATAGGGTGTAGTCATGAATTGGGCGAATATTTAAAAAACTGTTTATGTGTTTATCTTTTTTATGTTTTATTTACTCTCAAATATTTTCTGAATTCCAACAAGTCTAGGATATTAAAAAGACACAAGCATGTACTAAATCTTAGAAATAATCTTATAACTTTAAAAACTTTCAATGTGCAAGGTACAAATTCTCTAAAGATGCTAAAATCCTTCAAGTTCGCAAAGAAACGTTGATTTTCATTAAAGCAAAGGGAGTTGATAGACTCTTAAGCGTTACAACATATAACTTTAACTGGAGCAACTTTAGTTTCATCAAAATGGTTAGAGCATCATAGTTCAAATATGTGAGGTTTTTCAACAAAGGATGGAAGAGGTGGAGGGGAAAACTATTGAGATAATCAAATTACATAGCCTATCGCAGTGCCCAGTCATACCATTGTAGCATTCACAACAAAAAGAGAGCCAATTTGAGGTTACCTGAATTCAATGGAAAGTGCACTTTCAATATCAAGGGGACCATCTTGGTGTGCTAGAAAAGTGCTTTTAAGGTCACTCATAAGTGTTGAGTTCATATGATATTTAGATATGTAAGGTTGACTGATGCACAGATATTCCAAGGTCTGAGAGCTTAGAGTGCTCATCTTGGACAGAACCCACAAAGGGGTCCAAAATTATGTCACAGTAATGACTCAAGGGAGATATTTGCTATGATTTTGACAATAATTTTGTTAAGACATGCATAGATTTAAATTTGGAGATTGCTAAGATAAACAAATTAGTATTTGCTATTTAGGATGATTTCATCTCAAATGTTAAACATGATTGTTTTAAACGCACCTTCTTAAAATTTGATAAATAGGAGAGGTGCTTGAACCTTTGTGTATGAGAGCTTATGGTTACGTGACAATGGGCTTGACTAATTGCTCGGGCATGATGGTTGTTTTTTATTAACGAATTATTATAGAGATATGAAGGGAAAAAAAAAAAGTAGTTGGAAAAAAGCTTTCTTTGTAATGCTCATGGAGTGTCATCTTGACAAATCAAAACCTTAATTGAGCAAGAAAATTTACAACAATTTCAGAGATGTGGAATGGTACCGTTTTGAGGAACTTTTAATGTGATTAATTCTCAGTACCGGATAAATATTCCTTATTTATTATTTTTCTTGAGTTATATTCTTTGCTGATTGTCTTGATAGACTTTCGAATTCTTTTTTTCTTTTTTTTTTTAGATTAGATGTACCTGAATTTGAGAAAGAGTGTTTTCTTTATTTGTATGTCGTTTCTCCATATGATGGATTAGATCCTCTCTTCTCCAAGCAGCATAGAAATTAAACAAAATCTTAATATCTTTTGATTGTGCTTGATCTCCTTGGTATTACTTTTTAGAAACGTTAAAGATACATGTTTTTTCCAAAAAAAAAAAGTATGCCATCATTTCAGAATAATAAACTATCGGCTAACCATAATCCACCTGTCTTTCGAGAGGTTGGCTTGCTCAACTTGAATACTAATGTGCTAGTAAAAGAGCAACAATTAAATACAACCGACTGCCGGAAGCACATTTCAAACAGTGCACTGACTAACTAAAAATTCAGGTACTCTTAAACAGAATCTCCCCTAATAAAAGCCTGAAATTTCGAAAGAATAACTTATGATTAAAAATCCGTTGACTCCATACCTTAGGAAGATAGGAGAACAGCTTAGAGTGCGCTTCTGAGCCCGGAGATAGGGCAAAGCTGAGGAACGCCGACAGAATGCTAGCTTTAAGCTTGCGGCGGAGCATAATCGTCAGGCGCACTGACTTTACAATCCGCCGCACCTCTTTAGCATAGGCTCCAGTTTCGATCAGAGCAGCGATGTCCTTCAGATCTGAAGCCAGGAGCAAAACCCAGGGCAAACGTCGGCATTAACGATCTTAAAACGTAAAAGAACCAAAAAAGAAAAAAAAAACGAAGTTCTACAGAATAGATTGCAACGGCAACTCACGTTGTAGGGTGGATGGGGTGGAAAAGGAGGATACGGAGTGGGAGGGCACCTGCGCCTCTTTCATCTCCACCTCTTGAGTCATCCTGTGATATCTGAAGAATAATCGTAAAGTTGCAGAGTGATCAGAGGAATTAGGGCTCGGAGAATGAAATAAATTAATGGCGCTGGTCAAAGTAGCACTTACTAGCGTTCGCGCAAAGAAACTCTTCGATGGGAGCCTCGCCGTCCCTCTGGTTTCTTTTTCTTAAAACATCAAAACTTGTACCGAAAGCTTATTTGATCCTTCATTTAATAAGGTGTAAATCAGAACGCCTGCCTCATGTCATCTGAAGCATAATTATGATACATAGGAAAAAGGTGATGTGGGCACATGACGTATTTATATTCACCTTCAAATAACATCCGTATCCACAAAGAATAATTTCACGTAACAAAGGAGAAATTATTATGTATGAACATTGGATTGTCCGGAGGCGAATTAGAACGCGCCACATCATCTAGTACCCTGTTGCGGTACACAACAAAAGGGTGACGTAGCGCGTTCTAATTCACCTCTAGACGGCATCCTTATCCACACAAAATAATTTCACGTAAAAAAGGAAAAAAATGTTATGTGCGAACACTGGACCATACGAAGGCAAATCAGAATACATCACATCACCTGATACATAGTAGCACACAGTCGTTATACATAGCAAATGGATAACGTGACACAATTTGATTCGCCTCCAGACAATGTCCTTATCTGCACATAATAATTTCACGTAAAAAGGAGAAATTATTATGTATGAACATCGGACCATCCAAAGGCGTATCAAAACACACCACATCACCTACTACACAACCTCAATACACAGCAAAACAGGTGACGTGTTTTGATTCACTTCCGCACGGCATCCATATCCACATAATAATTTCACGTAAAAAAGGAGAAATTATTCTGTGCGGACACCAAACAGCCCGAAGACGAATAAAAAAGCTATATTAATGAAGTTTTGGTTGTGTTGATATATTCCCAGCTCATCCTTTTATAAACTCATGGCTCCTATCGAATAAAAATTTAATACAATTCTTGTCTGTATGGGTTGTGTACTGTTATATTAATAAAGTTCAGGTCGTGATTATATGTTTTCAGTTCATACTTTTATTAACTATCAATTATAACTCACGTGTGCTCATCATAACACCAACATGATTCTTAAAAATAAATGATTTCTTCAAATACATTTAATTTTGTGAAATTGTGCTTTTTGAATCACATTAAGATGAAATCTCATATCTTTTATCATTTTAATTTAATATATCAATACAATGTTATAATATCATATTTATAATAAAAATTTGAACTTCCCTTCTAAATATTAAATGATTGATTTTATTGTATAATTAGTTCTATAAACATAAACAATGTATTTTTCAATATTGAATTGTAAAACAAAATTAATATTTTTTTCTCTACTACAATTTTAACAAAAATATCTAATTCTTGATTAAAGTAAGTAGTAATTATAATTACCTATGAAAATAAATATAATTTATTTTTTAAAAATGATAATGTTATTAAATTTTCATTACATGAATTTTTTTTAAAATTTTTAATCACGTGCATTTAATGCACGTGCAAGAAAACTAGTAGTAAAAAGGTGATGTGGGCACGTAAGGTATTCTTATTCGCCTCCCAACAGCATCTATATCCACAAAATAATTTCAAGTAACAAGGGAGAAATTATTATGTGCCAACATTGGATTGTCCGGAGGCGAATTAGAACCCGCCACATCATCCAGTACACAACAAACGGGTGACGTAACGCGTTCTAATTCACCTTTAGACGGCGTCCGTATCCACACAAAATAATTTCACGTAAAAAAAGGAAAAAAATGTTATGTGCGAACACCGGACCGTCCGAAGGCAAATCAGAATACGTCATGTCACCCGATACACAACAGCACACACCCATTTATACATAGCAAATGGATGATGTGACACATTTTAATTCACCTCCAAACAATGTCCTTAACTGCACATAATAATTTCACGTAAAAAAGGAGAAATTATTATGTATGAACATCGGACCGTCCAGAGGCGAATCAAAACGCACCACATCACCTAGAACACAACCTCAATACACAGCAAAACAGGTGACGTGTTCTGATTCACCTCCGCACGTCATCCATATCCACATAATAATTTCACGTAAAAAAGGAGAAATTATTCTGTGCGGACACCAAACAGCCCGAAGACGAATAAAAAAACACCAGATCACCCGATACACAACCACGATCACATCATACCAAAGGAATCACATCTTATGAGCCATAACTATTAAGTAGTAACACTTAGATTTTATTTAAAACAATTTTTACTATTTAAAAAATTACTTAAAATATAGTAAAAAAAATATCCCATAAAACCTTCTCTCTCAAACTAAGCTCTTTTATCTTTACCGTTTCTAAAGAGTAATACCAAGGATATCCAGCACAATCAAAAGCAATCATATATTCTTCTTCATCAACCTTCACACATCACGTCCCAACGATATTTCATCAAGTCTTACATAACTTTTCTCATGCAAGAAACTCTTCTTGCACTAAGAACTTTATTTCAAATATCACTATAGTAGCTAGACAACCTAATAGGAAGTAATGCATAGGAAGCTTGTTTTCTCTCCATGGAATATTATTCATCCTGAAGAAATTGAGAAGCCATTATTTAAAATTTTATATATTTAAATAATACAAATTGATGAACAATATAAACAGTTTCATGAACTCCTAAAGACTCCCACAATCAAACTCAGTAAGTTTGAGCTGTATCCAAGATATGAATCCAGAAAGAAGCTTTTCCCTTAAGAATCTGATGAGAAAGCCGTTCCTCTCCTCTAGCTGACCAATCAAATAAGAAGCAGAAATCAAAACAAAGCTTCTCCATTTCCTCGCTTCAGCATACTTCTTCAATCCCTTCTCAACTTTCTCAAACTCTTTTTCCTCTGTCTTGTTTCCATCTCCTGCCAAGAAAATCAGAATTTTAAAAGAGCTCAAGGATTGCTTGAAATTTAATTCAGCTCAGGAACTTAAAATAAACATGAGATTTATATAGCTATCACTAAATTTATATATATTTAGATAGAGAATAGGTCATAAATGATTCATTGACTCTTCAGGAAGGGTCAGAATAGTCCCCAACTAAGTTAAGGGATCATTTTGATCTCTCAACTCTTTAAAATGAGATCATTTTAGTCCTACCAATTAAGTTAAGATTTAATGGTGTTAAAATGAAGGTTAATTTGGCCATTATTTTTAGTTTAGCTATTTATTATATATTATTTTCAAGCAAATATGCAAAGAATTAGACTCTAATGAATCTACAAAATATAAAATTTGGATAGCAACCACAAAACAGAAATGAAAACAAATATTCTTCCAATTCAAATATAACTACTAACAAAATTTCTTTATTTATATAAATAATTAAAATAGATCAATAATAATAAAAATATATGGCAAAATAAAATAGCGAGCAACATATCAACATGCACTCATTGGATCAGTTCGACACTGAGGGTTAGATGTCCCTAGGGTTTGTCCGTAGGATTCGACGCTAAGGTTTGACGTTGCTACTAGTTCGATGCTGCTAGGGGTTTGAAGTCGGGGTTCGAAGATATTGAGGGTTCGAAGCAGAGGGTCGAGGCTGTGAGAGGGTTTGTAGTCGGGGTTCAAAGCTGTTGAGGGTTCTAGGCAGGGGGTTGAAGCTACTAGGGCTTCGAAGCTGAAAGATGTTTTTGTCGGTGGAGTTTCGACGCAACGCTGCTCGGTTCATAGATTTTGATTTCACGCAATTTTTTTTATTCCAAATATAGTCTTCCGCCATCCTTCATCCATCCCACGTTTAACTTTTTTTCAATTAATTTTTAACGGTGGGATCAAAATGGTCTCATTTTAAAAAGTCAAGGGACCAAAATGATCTCTTAACTTAGTTGGGGACCATTTTGGTTATTCCTAAAGAATCAAGATACCATTTTGATCATTTTCTCTATTTAGATATATAGCGTGTTAGTCTCATCACATCAAAATTTAGACAAGAAAAAAACATAATTTATAAGTTAATGTTAATTATATGTTTTAGATGATTTAGAGCTTATGATACTCATACTATATTTAGGAGTCATATAAATACATATGAAGTCAATGATATGCATATAAATCCACCGTACATAAAATCAATGATGTATATGACATATCTTATATGTATAATATATTTCTATATATTTAATTAAACATTAATCTGTAATAGGTTCAGAATCCACAATTAGTCAGTTTTGAATCAAATTGTTCTGTCGATTTCTTCTTTTTCATATTAAAGTCTATGCAAAAAAATAAAAAATATTGTTAATCAGAGAAACAAAACCAGCATGAAATCAACTCCATATAGTTAACCTAACCTGCAAGTGCTTCACCCAAGCATCGAGCAAGCGCAACAGCATCTTCAAGAGCAGAGCAACCTCCTTGGCCAAGATCAGGAGTCATGGGATGAAAAGCATCGCCTGCAACGCAAACATTTTCCTTGAAGATATTACCCCATAGCAAATCAAATGGCCAGCGGAACCTCAAAGGAGCAGAGACCAATCCATTGCTCAGATCACTATTCTCAATTATTTCAATCACGTCTTTGGGCATCTTTGAGCTCTTTAGCTTGCTTAGCATCAGCTCTCTCATTTTCTGAGGATTTTCTTCTGCTTCTTTCTCAGCTGAGAGGAAAATGAAGTGATTTTTTATATTAAATGACATAAGCATTAGGCTTCTTTTTGCTCAATTTTCTAGAAGTTATGAAGAAGGGGTTGTTTTGATAAAAAACTGAAGTGTTTTCTTCTTTTTTTCCTACAAAATGTACATAAGAAAAAAAAAATACTTTGGTTACCTTGATTGGAAGGAGACCAAGTGAAGAACCAGTAGATAGTGTCCTCGTCGCAGTGACTTATACCGGCTCGAAATCCTTCTCCGAAGAAGTATTCTATGAGGCGGCGCCTTGAGATCGACGATTGAGAAGCGTTTAAGATGCCTCTGGAAGCTGAGCGACCAGAGAACAATAGTGGTCTGAGTCCCAGCCATTTGGCCACCACTGAATTCACCCCATCACAGCCTATCAATACCTGTGAATGCATATGTAACAGAAAGAAGAATGATTTTTAAACCCACTTTTTAACACCAAATAGGGGCGTGGAACTTCTTAGGGTCTTTTTGGCAATACTCTTTGCTGCATGTGATTTAGGCTTCGTGTAGGACAGCTTTCTTACTATATGAAACTTAACTAGGGTCATATCCTTAATGTTATTTTGTCGCCTATTTTTATTTCTGAATAACAAAAACAGTTTTAAGATATTTTATTTAAAGAAACAAAGCAGAAAAAGAGCTTTTCTTTTGAATGGTGATACAGAAGATTTCACAAAAAAATAGTTTTGATAAAATTTATCTATCTATTCTATTTAAAAAATAAATGCATTGTTTTAATTAATTATATCTTTGCTAAGATTATTTTATCATAACACAATAATAAGCAAAGTTATTTTACTAAACAAGTATAGCTCATACAATCTTTAGAAAATAATCTTATTAAATGATGATCTGGTTTACTCCATAAAACATCGATTTTAAACGAATCCTCAGAATATTCAGGAAATACGGATCAAATAACAATGATTAAAATAACATCTAATGGATTAATTACTAATTAAATTTATATTCAAAGAAAGCCAAAAGCTTAAGCATGCCAGTAAAGGCTATAACTAATATTTTTATATCAATGTAATGTTAGTATTTAAGATGAGAGAGACTAAACAAGATACTCTCATTTCTCTTTATACGATTATTTGTTTCATTTCAATGAGATATAGTTCAAAGTAATGTTGAATTAAATATGCCCAGAAAGGGTGAAGGACTTCCGCCCGGTTCCCTCTGAAGTGGACCCAACAGGAGAGCTGGGCCAATTTAGTGAGGAAAGAGGTGGATGAACTGCGCCAAGGGGATCAGATCATGGGAGACGAATGGAACAAAAGGAGGGACTGCCACCCTCGTTACACGGGGGGAACCAGTGGCGGAAGAGGAAGTTGGGGTGGAGAACCAAATGTGAGGAAGCTGAAGATGCCGATGTTCGAAGGTGATGATGCTCATGGGTGGGTATACCAAGTGGAGAGATATTTTGTGGTGAATGAGTTGAGAGAGGAGGAGAAGATTGCAACCGCAAGGTTATGTATGAAAGGGAAAGCCCTCACTTAGTTCCAGTGGAAAGAGCCTAGATATCCGATCCGTTCATGGGAAGAGTTTAAGGATTACTTGCTGGAACGTTTTCGAGCCATTCGGGAAAGAAACCTACACGAGCAATTCTTTGCCATGAATTAGGATAGGACTGTCATTGAGTACAAGGAGAGATTTGAGTTGTTGTCAGGGAGGCTGAGGGGAATTTCGGAGGCAGCGTTGGAGGAAAATTTCATGAAGGGCCTCAAACCCGACATACGAGCGGACCTTCGATTGATGAGGTCGAGGGAGCTGAAAGAGACGATGGAGCTAGCACAGATGATAAAGGATCGAAGGCAGATGGAGAGAAGCAGTAAGAGAGGGGTTGCATGAGGCTCTTATAGAAGTACCTCAACTTCATTGACACCAAGGACCCAGACGATATCATTTTTGCGAGCGACATCAGGGGAGAAGAGTGGGGAGTTCGTTCCGGGGCATACTTCAAGTGCCTCACAGGGGTGGAGGTATAGGATAAGAGAGCGAAAGGTCTGTGTTTTTGTTGTGATGAGAATTATGCACCAGGCCATCGGTGCAAGGACCGAACACTCCAGGTCTTTGTAGTTTATGAGAAGGAAGAGACTGGCAGTGAAGACTTTGTTGAGGAAGCAGAAGGTGTTGCAACTCGAGCTTCCGAGTTTATGATTTTGATGATAACAAATATTATTGATTAATGATTACATCTTTATTTCTCATAATATTTGTAGTGCATATTTGTTTGTGTGTTGACTGTTGACAAAGATTGCAGGTACACCATGCACCGTTCTTTGAGGATTCAGGACTCAAGATTGGGTATAATAAGTTATGTTAAATGAGTATGTAATTTTTATTTATTTATTTTTAATTTCTTGAGTCAAGTCCTATAATGAAATATGTTAGCCTGGTGATCGTGCACACACACACAAGGAGAGGAAAAAATGATTTTAGATATTTTAATTATTTTTACATCGTACTGTACGATATGGATCGTACTGTACGATTTGGTGTTACAGAAATTAATAAAAGTATTTTATTTTTTCTGGGAAAAATATTTTTGAAATATAAGTACTGTACGATCTATTATAATTAGAAAGCCTGTCGTCCATTAAATTAGGTAAAAATTTGAATTTAAAAAGTTGTTATAACGTACTGTACGATGTTTAAAATATTGTTTAATTTAATCCTGTGATTAGTCAATCGAATATACTTAATTTTAATATTTTGATTGTATTGAACGAACTGGATCATACTGTACAATCAACAGAGACGATTTTGATCGTCCCATGATTCATCTTGTAGGAACTGCATTTCAGTTGAACTAATTTTACTATATGATTGGTCATTCATACTGATGATTGTAAAACACCAACAAGCAATTTGAACTGTTTGTACTATACTAATTGGTGATCGTACAATACTAACAGGTCAAATTCCAAACATCATACTGGATTTACTGTATGATCTTTGACGGCTGAATTATTTTTTAGGGTTTTTTGAAGCCCTCTATTTAATATTTCTCATAAAATATAGTAAGTGTCTTTGGCATGCATTGAGTCTTCATTCTTTTGGAGAAAACTTGAAGGTAGAGCTTTGAAAGGGAGAGAGGAAAGGGTGGAGTTTGAGAGGGAGAAGATCCTTGTGGGTTTCAAGGGAGTGTGGAGGGCGTTTCACACGGTTGCCCCTATAAGCATGCATCGTAATACCATCGATTCAAGGTTTGTCTTGAGGGAAGTTTTGGGAAGAAGAACATCCCGGCTACTCCGTTGCACTGAGGAAGGTGAAAGTGATTCAAGGTTCTCTGCCTCACTAGGAGGGTGAAAAGGAGTCCAGGCTCTTTGCCTTACCAGAAGGGTGAAAATGAGTCAAGGTTCCCTGCCTGTGAAAGGAGTATGGTCCTCTGTCGTACCGGGTTAGTGGAAAAGAGTTTGTAAGGGCTTCTTCGCCTGGTTGTGGGGGATAAAGGAGTGACACTATATTGATAGTGCAATATACAGAGCGTGTGACTCCGGGGAGTGGACGTAGGTCATTGTTTGACCGAACAACTATAAAAGATGGTGTGTTCTTTCTGATTTTATTTTCTGCAGTTTATTTTTTTGCATTTTATTTTCTGTTATAACTGCTTGGTTGAAAATCTGTAATTGATATTATATGGTATTGATTAGATTATTATCACTATCTTTGTAACTTTTGATCAGTGTACTAGCTTCCACATCAAGTGATAGTATCATTTTCGTATTAGTATGTCTCGGGCTAGTTCCTTAAGGTTTAATAACCTCCAAGAACTTTCAAAAGGAAAATAGTACCTACACCTTGATGTGGCAGAAGTGCCCATAAATTATGTGGTGGGATTTACTCTAAATCACACCATAAAGATGAGGAGACAAATCGGGGAGTAGTCAGTGGCGGTCTTGGTGGATAGCGAGGCTACACATAACTTCGTCTGAAGTCGGGTTGTGGACCAGTTGGGATCGAAGTTAGTGGGCATAGGGAGCTTTGAAGTTATGATGGGAACAAGAAAGGTGGAGAGAAGTAGGGGGATTTGCATGAAGGTGGTGCTGACACTCCCGGGCATGCAGATAGTGGAGGATTTTCTTCCCTTGGATTTGGGGAGTACTGATGTGATCCTAGGGATAAAGTGGTTGTAAACGTTCGAGAAGACGAAAGTAGATTGAAAATCTCTAATGAAGGAGATTCAGATGGAGGGGGATAAGGTGGTGCTATGAGGAGATGTCAGCCTGTGCAGAACCATGGTTTCACTCAAGACCATGGTAAAGGCGATACAGGAAGCAGGGCTAGACTACTTAGTGGAGCTGCAGAGATTGGATGAGGTCTAAGACTCAAAGCAAGTCGAGGTCCCTAATTGTGTACAATTGGTTATGCAATAGTTTTCTGAGGTCTTTCAACAGCCTAATGGGTTACTGCCACCCCGAGAGCACGAGCACGACATAACCTTGAAGGAGGGAGCGTCTCTTATCAGTGTCAGACCATATCGATATCCTCAGATTCAGAAAGATGTGATTGAGAAGCTCATCAGAGAGATGCTTGATGCGGGAATGATTAGGCCCAATGTGAGTCCTTTTTTCAGCCCCGTGTTACTAGTGAGAAAGAAGGATGGAAATTGGAGGTTTTTTGTGGATTACATGGCATTGAAAAGGTCCTTATAATCGATGAGCTATTTGGAGAAGTCATTTTTCCAAGATTGACATGAAGTTAGGGTACCACTAGGTCAGAATAAAGACTGGGGATGTACATAAGACAGCTTTTAGGACTCATGAAGGTCACTATGAATTCTTGGTGATGCTTTTCAGCCTTAATAATGCCACAATCACTTTTTCAGTCCCTACTGAACTGAGTTTTCTAACCCTACCTTAGAAGGTTCGTCTTGATATTTTTTGATGACATCTTGATCTACAGTCGTATAGAGGCAGAGCATGTGGGTCACCTAAGGACTGTACTAGAGAATTTGAGGGAGCACCAGCTGTATGCCAACTTTAAGAAATATTCTTTTGCGCAATCATAGGTGGAGTACTTAGGGCATGTGGTGAGTAGAGCAGGGGTAGCAGCAAACCAGACCAAGAATGAGGTTATAATGGATTGGCCTTTACCTAAGAACTTGAAGGCATTAAGAGGGTTCTTAGACCTCACCGGATTCTATCAAAAATTTGTGTGAGAGTATAGCACTATAGCATGGCCACTGACTGAGCAGCTGAAGAAGGATAGCTTTAATTAGGGGGGAGCAATGACATAAGCCTTTGAGTAGCTGAAGAAAGTCATGACTAGTGTGCCAATGTTAGCTTCCAAACTTCAGCATGCCATTTGTGGTGGAGATAGATGCATCAGGATACGGACTAGGGGTGGGTGGTGCTCATGCAGGATCATAAGC